TAAATAAAAGCGGCATACTCGTTAGTTTAATACAAGCAAGACGCAATTTCCTGATGCGAATAAAATTTAAGGTGTTGCTCATGCTTCAAAATCCATGTACAAGGAGATGAAGATGACACAGGCTAGAAATGAAGCACCAACGATGTAAGAATGTAAAACAGCAAACAAACAATGAAAAAACGCAAGGAACAGGCAAATTAGCATAAACTGGCCTGTAAGTTTCGCTACGATTCCGCGCCAAAGCGTCATAGAAATACTTAGAACAAACGAGTGGGACGCTTGGGCTGTTTTTATTTTCATGTTTTGTGGGAATGCGCGGCCCTTGATGGATACTGCAGATGCAGCCGAGTTGCTCTTGAGTTCTGCCCCTTGTCATCATCTTCTGCTCTTATTTTGTAGCACCTCCAATGTTATCCGCATCAGGAAATTGCGTTTTACTCGTATTTGAGAGCGCAATTAAAGGACTTGGCAAAGTGCCAAGGAGCCGCACGCGACGCGCGCTTGCAACGGATGTTATGAACGGCGGGAATCTGCGCCGTAAAAAGGCAGTGGGCGGAGCATGGAAGAATTAGCGTGTTTCCTGTATCTCCATTCCTGGGCATGTTTGGGCGGGGGGACCACGACACATCGACAGCTGGGGGGCTGATAGTCTCATACACCCTCAATGTGTTGAGCGTACCATGTGTCTTTAAAGCTTAAAAGTGGTACTAACCTTCCTGGTTTAGGTCACATTCGAGGAGTAGCAGCGTTCAGAGGCGTCGGAATCGTTCTCGTTCCCATGACAGACAGGTTCGGTCGCGACATTCGCGCAGTCGCAGTAGAGATCGTGGCGACCGTAGACGACATAGCCGTTCGCGGTCGCAGGAACGCAAAGCCCGTGGCGCCAACGACAGGTGAAGTAAACGCTTCTGATACTTACTTTGATACTTTGATGGTCCTTCAACTGGCTTGATCTTCAGTGGGGACCACAGCTCTTCCATAACGCACGATTTCTGGCGACTTGCATCCAATGTGGTGGACCGCGTTCTCTGAAATATTTCAAAAACGAGTCGGACCAACGCGTTGGTGGTCGTCCCAGAGGCCGTTTTGCGTTCCTTGGGAGCCATTCTGTGACGCGGAGACTCCATCTGTCATCGTTGCGGCGGAGCAAGTGACCAGCCCAGCGGTGTTTGCACTGCGCCATATACTGCAGCGGATCTTTCAATCTCGACCGCTCCCTTAGGTCTGTACTTCGTAGACCTTGTTGCCATTGCTGGCGGCGGCCGACCTTCAAAAGACATCTCTCCAGTGCACGATGCGTAGTTTGCATTGCCTTGGTGATTGTCCTGTTTTCAGGCCAGGTTTCGGTCGCGTAACACATCGCTGGTAGCACCGTGGCGTCGAATATCGAGGCTCTTAGGTTAGGGTCCTTAATTTGCTCCGTTACTTCACGAATCGTTCCAAAAGCTGCCCATGCTGCACGCCTCCTGCGGCTTATTTCAGAAGAGATGTTGTTCAGCATGTTTAGCTCTCTTCCCAGATACACGTAGGAATCCACTCTTTCGAGAGCAACTCCTGCCAATTTCACGGTTCCCGCGTCACACCAGTGGTTCACCATCATTTTCGTTTTGGACATATTCATTTCCAAGCCAATCTTCTGACCAATCATGTCGAGCTCGTTTACCATCTCTTCCATTTCGACTGTGTTATCGGATATCAAGAACGATATCATCGGCGGAGCGGAACGGAGGTTGCTTATTCTTTTCCCGTCAATCAAGTATCCTTTGTCATCCCAGTTGAGACATAGTTTTGACATCGCATACTGTAGTGCTGCCGTGAATAACTTCGAGGATATCGTGCCCCTGCCGTACCCCTCTCTCAATGGGAATGTTTACCTTGCGCTCGAACGGTTGAAGGGTCGTTGATGAGTTCGATAAACTTTTTTTCGACTGTATTATTGGATATCAAGACGATATCATCAGCGAAACGGAGGTTGCTTATTCTTTTCCCGTCAATCAAGTATCCTTTGTCATCCCAGTTGAGGTTTGACATCGCATACTGTAGTGCTGCCGTGAATAACTTCGGGGATATCGTGTCCCCCTGCCGTACCCCTTTCTCAATGGGTACTTTTACCTTGCGCTCGAACAGTTGCAGGGTTGTTGATGTGTTCGATAAACTCTGTTCGAGCAGGCGAATGTAGGCAGAGGGTACTCCGGCTCGCACAAGGGCGTTGAGAACAGCATTAACCTCCACTGAGTCGAAGGCCTTTTTGTAGTCCACAAAG